TCTCTCTTTGCCTGATTTTATCATGTTGACTATATGAGACCCCCGTGGGTCCCTTGGGGCTGCTGTCTGGGCTTATGTACAGGATAAAGTTGCTGTCATTGGTATTTTTGTTACCCCCAATGTATAATAGTGCCAATAAAAAAAATTCGTCCGTGTCTCTCTTCACATGATTAAATGTATTTGGGCGTGGTCTTTAATGTTACTGTTTAGGGTCACGTACATGAAAAAATTGCTGTCATCGGTGTTTCAGCATTCTACAATGTACAAGTAGTAATTCCTAGTTGGTTTCATTCATGTCTCTCTTTGCCTGATTTTATCATGTTGCTACTATATAAGACCCCCGTGGGTCCCTTGGGGCTGCTGTCTGGGCTTATGTACAAGATAAAGTGCTGTCATTGGTATTTTTGTTACCTCCAATGTATAATAGTTCCAATAAAAAAAAATTCATCCGTGTCTCTCTTCACATGATTAAATGTATTTGGGCGTAGCCTTTAATGTTACGGTTTAAGGTCACGTACAGGTAAAAGTTGCTGTCACCTGTGACATTATTGCAAGTATCTACCTGGGAGTAATACCCAATTATTTTTATCCATGTCTCTCTCCACATAATTAAATGCATTATTTAAGCCCCTTTTTCATTACCCCAGCCCGCTTGTACAGGATGCGCCCCGGCAGCAATACTGATTATTGTATCTTGGCCCTATACTACCATGACCAACGACGACGAGTTACTTGGAACGGTATGACGTTATTGTAAGGCATATGCGCATGCGTAATTATATTTATAATGCTTGGGTTTCGTCGAGTTCATTCGTAGAGGACGTGAAATCAGCCGGGAATCCGTCGTCACAGACATAAACTTCTGACCAATCACAGTACGTCAATTGGCAGTCGATCATGTCAACACCAGGTCAACACCACTAGATAGATTCGTTTTCAAGCTCGCGAATATTTTGCTGGTCTCTTTTGTACACCAAGAAAATATGGCTAGAAAATTTAAAGTTTAAACGTTATATATGAATATGATTACTTTTGTTTCAATGATTGATAATGGTAATGGTATAGGTAGGCCTATCACTTTTATTTTTGTTTGCTTTCATAGAGTAAAAATAACGTAAGGCTTCGATCATCCATATCTAAACTTCGCGAACGCCCACCCATCTCTACCTCTAGGCCTAATTAATAATATAATATAGTGTAGGCCTATATATAAAGGCCTAGCCTAGGCCTAGTAGTATAGGCCTAGGCTAGGTCTATTAGGCCTATGTAGGTCTAGGCCTAGTATCCTACATACTACTACTACTACTACTGTACTACTACTACTACCATAAAGACATAAAGCCCTACGAATATATGGATTGAAGAAAAAATAAAAAAATAAATTAGATACGAAAAATCAGATGCATCGTGCTATTTATTATTCCTATAATTAGGCATGGCCTAAGGCTAGGCTAGGGCCTAAAAAATAAATGACATACTGTACCTAAGTTAGTAAATATTCATTGATTTTACTTTTTCAGATTATTAACGTTCAATAGTACTCTACCCACTACAACTGCAAGTTCCGGAATCAACTTTATCCAACAGCTTTTTGCATGCAAGTTAAGGCCTATATTACTACTTTTTTGTTAAATTGGATTTTAGTAATGTGCTGTTTTATTTAGGTCTAGATATTTTATAGAGGCCTGAGGCCTAAATATGTTCGTTTTTTGGGTAGAGATTTCTTTTTCTTTCTCTTTTTTTCGTTAATACTGTAATACCATCATGCAATTTTACAACACACATTTTGAGTCTATCTTTTTTACCAGTTTTATACACGCTTACTGTATCTGTTTCAGATGGACAAAAAACACCAGGAGCAATACCCATTGTTGTAGGTTTTCAAGATAAGCTGATTTGTACTGGTAGGTTTTCCGAACCTTATTGATCTTGTCTGAGAGTACGGTCACCATGGCAGGCAAAACTACTTGTTTGTAATAAACCCAAATAGCTAATAGTAATAATAATAGTAAAAATTTATAATATCAATAATAAATAACAAAAATAATAAAGTAACCAAATATTAATAATGATAATAATAATAACAACAACAACACTGTTAATAATAATAATAATAATATTAAATAATAATAAACAATAATAATATTAAATAATAATATAAAATAATAAATACAAATAATATTTCAATCAATGTATAATTTTATTAATTTCAACAGACTGAAATTTATTACCATGAATTCTTGTATGTCCATTTTACATAATTCTTGTACAAGTCTACAAACGGGTCGAACGGTCCCATCTATGAACCCACCCCCCAACAGTTGTTGAGCGGTGCGCCCTTAGTTTGAATAACATTACAAAATTCTTGAAGCTTATCTGGAGCAAGTCATGGCTGTTGGAGAGTTTCCAAAAGATGGTTACAATTGTCGTAAATAATGATGTCCACGATTTTGCACGTTGCCAAAAACAACTCTGTTATGACCGACCGAAGTTTGGAACCATGTCTGCATATCGACATGATACGCAAAACGATACAAAAAAACATACAAAATGCTTCGATTCCATCAAATACGGATCCATTTTTGCATCGCCCTTCATGCGGAATTCTTAAAACATCATTGATAAATGTCATCCTTTTCAATTCTTGAATTAAATAATGTTATTTTGTTAATACAAAAGTGTATAATGTATATATACATGTATATTGATATTGGCTTGTGTGTGAGGAGTGGGTATAACGAAGGTGGTGTAGCATTGTGCCTTAAAGACCGTCGGACAAGCTGAATTATATGACTTATAAGAAAATATACAAATATATATTTGTATGTATGTATGTATATGATAATAATAATAATAGTACAGTAATAATAATATATCAATTTTATACATAATTACATATTCTAACTGGACTCTGTACATAGGATGTATACCTTGTGCCTGTATTTAACATTTTTCAATCATTGTCAATCTAAAGTCGGAGTTATGTCCTGGTTTCGACCCTTATAACGTCACTATTGGATAGGCTTATCTTCATTAGACTTCTACGAATAATTACTGTATACGAATAATTACTGTAGTGTGTAGTGTTATAGTTGCTTTGTGCTTGTTTGTAAACTTGACATTTTGGTCAAAATAATGAATAATTGACACACTGCCTTAATTTAACTTCATTATTTATTTATTATTAAATTGTATTTATAATATTTTATTGATGTATGCCTAATATAATTTTAACTGGTGGTCATGGCTTAAAGTTTGATTCTAAACTTATTGTTTAATGTAATATTATTCTTATTTCTTTACTATTAAGTTTTTTTTGTTGTTGTACAGTATTATGTATGTGTATGTGAGTGAACAAATTAAATGAAATAAAAAAATAATAGAAACGCAGACTATACAACTGCTTCTCTTTTGTTAAATAATGGCTCTGAAAAGAGCCTTTTGGTTTGAGATTCTTGTTTACGTGAGACTGCTACAGTAAATCTTCAAAGATGTTTAGCTATTGCTACATCTTTCTCTGGTATGCTAAATGCTGAACGAACAGGTGGTGGTGGAGAACTGAGTTGTGGAATGGAGAGTTGTGGGTCTTTCTTCCCACTGCTACACAACTAGATTACCTCTGCTATAAGCTTATATTTTATAACTGGTTTTTTCGCCATTTCTTCCTATTTTTTTCCTGTATGGGAGGATGAAAGCAATTTGGGAAGTGCTCTGAATGCCCAGTATAAATGTTTTGAATATGACTCTTTAAGCTCATAAACTTCTCAAGCATTTCAATTGGATCTTCGCTAGGTGTCAACGAAGTCACCCAATAAACATACTTTTTGCCCACTCCTGTACTTCACTTCTTTTTTCTTTCCCGATGGCACTAACTCTTTTTCTAAGGCCTGAACAAATAGTTTAGAAGAATGATAAATATTAATTTTATTGCTGAACAAAATATTATTTCCAAAACCAAACCAAGAGCAAATTATTTGGTCCACTTTTACTAATATAGGAGGGTAAAATGAATAAAAATAATAATTATACAATAATAATTGGAGTGGAATAAACCAGAAGATGATGACAAATTAAAAAAACAATAGGCCTGAAAGAACAGTATAAAAAAGATTGAACAAATTTAAAATAATTTTTTTAAATCATATTGATGCATAAAATAGTTACTATTTTACAGTATGGTTTGTTTTTTGCAATATAAAGAAATTGAGGAAGTTTATTTAGTTGATCCCTGAATAATAAGACGTTACTATCGGGAGGAACACGACAATAAATTGTAACAATGTTATAATTTGTTAAAAAGCGCGAAATGTGATACACAGCGTACACAACAGTTTCAAGTTCATTCAGTGCAGAGACATTATTGGTACAGCATGTATGCTACAGTAGTACAAAACTTTACAGTTTTATTTATAAAAGGAAGCTTTGGATTTATTTTTACATTGAAGGATTCATGGATGTGTTTGACATAGAATTTGAAAGAATATAAGTATGATTAATATTGTTTTTACAATCGAAGGATATGCTTGTACTGTACTTTGTTGAATCATTAACCTAGCTAGACCTAGGCCTACACAGTATAAACCTAACCCCACAAAAGCCTAGGCCCTAGGCCTATAGTATAATATTTATTACCTGTAGTAAGGGCAGGCCTAGGCCTATGCCTATTTAATATGGCATATTAGTACAGTGTTTATTTTCAATTCACTCAAGCATGTCCGGTGGTGACGTATGTATTTGCATCGTCGTCGCAAAACTAAAACAAGAGCTTATCATCTGTGTGGCCAACATTGTAATACGTCATAGATAATTAGCATATCGTCCTAGATTTCTCGTCGTCGCATATCTAAAACTCCTTAATACCTCCATGGGTAAACATAGAAAGAGCAATAATAGTAAAACTCGAGCGTCACGACATTGCGAAGTGTCTGCTCTTGTTCCTCGTATCGAACTTAGTCCGAGTGAAATTTCATGCAAATGTTTCGTACGGAAAAAAAAAATCGCAGCCGGGATCGAGATAGGTAGATTGAGATCGAGGTCACGCCAGGCGCGAGTCGATCCAGGTGCGATCACATTACAAAAATCTCACCCGCGGTGAGTCGAGCTAGGTGTGAGACTCTAGTGTGACCGTAGCCAAAGTGCATTTCCCTTGTACAGTATTTTGAAATTGTATATATACAGCTTGTGTATAAACAATTGATAAACTGAACAGTTACCAGTCATACTACAAGGTGTATCAGTAAATTTAAGCTGTAACGGTATCTTGTTTTCTGAATGAAGCTGTAACGGTAAACCTGGTCTGGCTAAGGGTATATATAATATGTCTGGCTTTCTTTCAATATAAAATGCATTAGGGATAGCATATCAATAAGACTGCTTTTTAAAAGAGTAATTCTCATTTTTATATATTTCTATCTTTGTCTTTGATTATTTATTTGTGTTATTTATCTGTTTCTTAAGTATCTTAAGTGTACAGGATACGATACACAAAACATATAATGCTAATCTACTTACTTTAATAATAATAATAATAATATAATTTATAAGAACAACATTAATGACAGTAATAATAATAATAATAATAATAACGATAATAACTATAATAATAATAAAAACAAAAACAACAACAATTATTATTATCATTATTATTACATTAATAGGAATAAGTAAGCCAACAATTAAACTGACACTGCATAGGACTGTCCCTTTGTGAATTGATGTTTCTACTTACACATCGCTTTTAATTGTACATTTTCCCTCCATGTTGGTTTCTAGGCTGACCCATTTTACTGGACGTTTCTTCTCTGGGGCGAGACGTTTGTACCCACTCTGGTAGATATCATCAGCCAATCCAAAGTCTGATACCTTCACTATTAATCCTGTTCCTACCAAGATGTTTCTTGCTGCCAAATCACCATGGTAATATCTTGTTTTAGACAAGTAATCCTGAATAATTAGTAATGTCATTAAATAGTTACTTAAGTTATATATTGCTAATTACTGTAATTGTAAAGTGTAACAGAATGTCACAATGATGAATATTTTTATGAATGAATGAATGAATGAATGAATGAAAGGACGAAAGAAGGCCTGAGCAAATACCATATTTATTTGAATGTTGAGAATGGTTCTTGGGGGGCGTTTATTCGAGGAAGTTGTTTATTTTACTGTAAATGTGGAACTACAACACATAATTACTATTAAAATGTGTTACTGCGTGATCATACAGACTTATTGATGGATAAATGATTGAATACATGAATTTTTTGAATGAACAATGACAATAATAATAATAATAATGATAAATGCAATGATGTAATTTCATTACAGATTATATTTAATGCGAAGTACTGTAAAGTAAAAATGGAGGCATGAAATCAATTTTCATAGAATATATTAAAATAATACTACAGGTACATGCACGTCCTAGTTTACACAGTAAATTAGTTTAAAAAAAATAATTTTAAAGCTTAGGAATAAAGGAAAAAAGTGTTTTACAAATTAATGTCTGAGTAATGAAACATCCAACAACTCTGTCAACACTAATTTTTTTTTTTTGTGACAAATTTGTGTGATGTGTCCAATATATGAGGCACAGTCCAGTATTGAGTAAATGAGCTATAAAATATGGGAGCTCAAAAAATTGCTAAAAATCCAAATTTGTTTTTCACTATAGGTCAACAGTTTAATGTCTTATTAATCATGTCTAAAAGTATTAGTTCTGGAAGTGGTTAACAAATTGTTTATTTAACATTATTGTTCATAGTTCAATATATTAAACAATGTATGCACAAATAACTTTGAAAGGCAATTACTCAAAATCCTGTTTATCTTGACTCTAAGAGTACTGTACTTTCACTTTCCAATAACTTAGGCTTGAAATGTCCAATTTGAATGAATGACCCCTCATTTTAAAGATCACATACTCAGGTATTTGAAAATACCAATAACTTGAATTTCAATTTTTGCTACAACTTAGCCATTTTGCCACAACATGCCTCATATATCAAATGTTATATTTCACCCAAATATAGGCATGTCACATTTATTTACATAAAATGTTATTTATAGTGTTGGCAGAATTTTACAAATACTGTATTATGAAAATGTGTTTGAATTTGTACAGCTCAGCTTTCAAAATCAAACCTAGTCTTTAAATTTAGTAAGCATAGCATCATCAACTTTTATTCTCATAAACTTGTACTTTATGATTGCTTTATGTTGTAAATTTTGTCTGACTGTCCACTTTGAGTTTACTTGAAATGCCTACCATGCCCCGTGTAATCTGCCTTGCAATTTGTAGTCTGTTTTCTTCCTGTAGATCATAAATCGGGTCTTCCAGAGCAAATTTTGGCTATCAAGAACAAAATGTTTATGCTCCTTTTAATGTTTATAAATTGAACTGTAAACACTAATAAATGCCACTGTGCTTCACATGGTGTTTTCTGGGGCCCAAACTATTCTGATATAGATAAGTAAAAGATTCCAATATATTAAATACTGTATTTGAAATGGTAGATTAATTGACTGAAGTGTCTGACTTTGGAAGACCTATCGAGCATATGGATGATGATAACAGCAGCAATTGCTACAACATTTAACAAAATAATGTAAACTTTTATTCCAAATGGCATGTTTTTCAGTTTATCGTTACAAAAATTTGTGTCTAAACAATAGCAAATGGCATTTGGTCTCATAAGGCATGATATGAATTGAAGTTTGAAGTACACATTACCGGTACATTACATCTACTCATGTTAGGATAATTAGTAAATAATGATAGCATAAACAATTCACACAGAGCAAATTATGAAGACATTGTCAAATGGCATTTGCTCTCATAAAGCGACATATGAATCAAAGTACATTACATTATGTCAACCCATGTTAGGATAGTTAGTAAAATACGGGTTATAAATGTACATTGTTTTGCTTGGAGGTTGGTTCTAGGGTAATATTCTCCAAAGATAACGAAACGAGATTAAATAATATTTTTAATTAAATAGCAATGCCATTTGGAACTCCAGACAATCGCCTGAGTGGATGAATTGCCAATAATTTTAGTAGGCCTAATTGAATTTTGCTATATTTTAAAAATTTTTTCAAAATTGTCCAAAACTTATGTTTCATATTTATTATTACACTTTTATTATTTATTGCGCTAAAGCCATGACCTGGGTTTTATGTTACATTCTTTTTATTATTTTCAATAGAAAATGATTAGATATACCTGACATTTCTGAAGAAAGTGTAGAAGATCACCATATTCCATATACTCAGTTATCAAATAGTAAGGCTCTTCCAATGTACAGCAACCCAAAACACGAAGAATATTGTCATGACTACCGATTTCGTTGATCAATCTTATCTCATCCAGGAAGTCCTCCTTCATGGCTCTAGATGAATTAGCTGGAAGTAAATTGCATATCAAACAATTACACATTTTACCCTAACTAGAATGTTAGAAGGGCATTGTTGATCAAGCCCAGTTGCTAAGCAACAACAGTCACAGCAGTCCATGTAAACACAACCAATTTAAAAAATAAGCTCCCAGCGGGAGAGTGTGTCTACTGCTTTATACAGGAGTCTTTGTTGTTTTTTAAAATTTTATCATATGTTCTTCAATATGCAGATGTGTGTATTATTGTAGTGTATCTGGATTTTTCATAAAAATTTTCTTTCATAACAATATTCTGTATAGGCCTACTACTATATTACACTAAAAACACTTTAAAAATGAGTAACTCTTGGAGTTGCCACGTTATGTTGTTGGTCACGAATAGTACTACCATGTTCTAGAGGGCGTCCTTCAAAAAACGGTAAAAGGCATTTGTGGCGAATGTGTGCTGCATCTCTATAACGCATGTTCGAGTTTTGAACGCAATTTTGTTCAAATTCCGAACGCTATTCGATTGTCAATAGAGCGCCCGCTACCAGCTGTCTCTTATACACATCTAGATGTGTATAAGAGACAGATATACATCTCCCCCTAGTAGGCCTACTAATAATACTATAGGCCTAGTTATAGGCCTGGTCCTATGAAAAAATGTCTAGGCCTAAATGTCTAAAAACTGCGCTGTCTAAATAAAGGTACAGTATGTGCTATAACACTACAGTATATCATCATAGCCAACACCAATTCCTGTAACAATAAGATTATTATTGATATACTGTAGGCCTAGAAGCTATAGGCTACACAATAATAACGCCCCATTAAATAATAACATGATGCATATGTTACTAAAACCTAACTTTCAGCTGTTGTTGAAATGTAGAATTCAAATAAAATATATACAGTATATATATATATTTGTAGGACAAGATATGTGATATGCCGAAACATAACACTCTGGTCACATAGGTATTTGCCAGTCGCCATGATGAGACAAACATACCACAACATACCATGAGTACACCACCCAACATTGGCACGAAAGAAGGTGGTACAAAGCATACAAGTACCCAAGATGTTAGCAAGAAACACTCTGGTTGTTTGTTGAAACTTGTAATGAAAGCTACACACAATTTAAGGTGAGCAAAAGAAAAATTAAGTGAATATCTCATCACTGTTCAGCCAGAGTACTTGAAACTAATATATTGGACTGGTAAAAATTATCAGCATGGTGTGTCAGTTTTATTAAGAAACAACAATAATACATTACACACTAGCAGACAGGAAGGCTTCAATCAAGTACTGTAATTAAAAAATCTGAAAATACTGTCAATTGATGAATGTCTTTCCAGATTAGTACATACAGTATCTCCAAAATCCAAAATGCCATTGAGAAATTGTTTGACCCTAACAAAATTTGACTTACGGTAATGGAAAACACAACAATTCAGCATGTAAAATTAGATCGACTTGGAAATTATTAAAGTATATTATTATTAGTCATCTTAGGCAAGTTTAATTGCACTGTTCTATTTATCATGTCTTATTGTCTTGTATTATTTACCATAGCCAAGATTTCTTCTTTCATGAGGATATTCAACATCCATATTTTTGGTGCTTCACTTAGTTATTGTTGTAAATTGCAGTGTACTTAACAAAAAAATGTTCTTGAAATCAACTTTGCTGGCCTATCCACATCAATAGTAACAATTTCAATTACAGTCTGGAAGGTTTGCACAGAATTGACTGATCCAGATATACAAAAGCTCTAGGCCTATGCTGACAAAATTTCCTTTCATGAGTGATGAGATTGTCAAATAAACAGAACACAGTTGTCACATGAATAGTCAAGAATGAATCTATTACATAAGATCTGTTGCATTAATTAGGATGGACTTCCATAACATCTATCTTCCATAACAAATTATAAATAATTCTTCCAACACAGTTTATTTCATCATCTTCTATAGCATCAAAAAACCCAGGGCAGTCTTCACAGCTTCTGGGAACTTGTCCCTAATCGCCCACACAGTGCAAGATGGGATGACCCTTCTGTCAGATTTCTTTAGCCTGTTAAACACCTACCAAATGAAAGCCAAAAGCTTGACTATTCTTACACCATTCAAAAATAATTAGTATTGATATTACAATATCTTTATAAGGAATTAATCATTCTGTCACTAATCATCAATGATAATTTTTGTTGAAAATATATATATTCTAATTAATAATCACTGTGAAAAGCCCATATTCAAATGCATTGCAAAGTGGTGTAACATAGCTGCGACCTAATTATTTTGAATAGAATTTATTACTTCATTAATATAATACTTTTTTGTAATATAAAAATAAAAATTAGTTTAAAAATTACAAACGAAGACAATAACAATATATGTATAATAGACTATCTTGTTTCTCAATCTTTTCTAATGTACAGTAATAATAATTCCCCTGTATTTTGACCATCAAAATGGCTGGACATTTGACCCTCTACTAGTTTTTGATCCAGCATGGAACCAACAGGGCCATGCCTAAGGCAGGTGGTTGTATTTCCGAGCAGAATGCTGAAAATTAGTCTTTGAACATTGCCAATGTATCATGCAGAAGTTAAGTTCTCTGCACATTTTTCCAAGCCATTTTCCGCGCAAATTTGAGCTAGTTTTCAAGGTATCATCCACATTCCAGGACGAATAAACTGGCATTTTAGTAATGCTGTAGTAGTAGAGGTAGGTCCTAGATAGTTCCATGGATCTAATAATTAACATGTAAATTAATGTACTTTATTTAAAATAGTGTTGTTTGTTTGTCTAATGTTTGAAATATTATTATTATAGTCTGTATGCCTAGGCCTAAACTAGGGGCTTTGGCCGCGCTAGGCAGTAGAGTAGTATTCCGTATTCTGTACATACATACAGTACTGTACTGCACTAAATGCTAGGCTATGCCTACACAGGTAAGACAAGTTGGTATTAAACAAACCTATTTAACGCCACTATTAAGATCACCACTTCCAAGACTTCCTTATCCAAACCAGCAAACATATCTTTTTGAAATATTGATTCTTCAAAGATGCCTTCGACTTATTATATTAATATTATTAAATATTTTCGCCAGTCTGAATGCAAGCCTTTGAAAATCGGTACATTTTAGGAAATTCCCTATCTTATAAAATTAGCTCAAAATCCTGTAGCACCAGTTTTTTTTTGGGACCCAGTTCACGAGCCTCGTTTTCGAATACCGCACTCCAAAATCAAGTGCAGACACCGTCATTGTGGTCGCCGATCCCTCTATTTTAAATTAAAAATTAATCGATTCATCCCCGCACTTCCCCTTTAAGACAATGTGCTCTGTGACTAGACAGAGTTTGTGTACAGTATGGTCTAAAAAAGCACAGTAATATTGAATCTGGCTATTTGAGTAGACCTACATTATACTATCCTAGACATGACATGTGTTGAACATAAACGTTTATGAAAATGCTCGGATACAAATTATGAGTACTTCGGATACAGTTGCTAACTTACAATTTTACAATAAATTAAACATTTTTATGAGAAAAAAATCCGTCAATTAACAGACAGTGAACGTATCTGCTGGTAACTTAAGGATTTTCCCTCTTTTTTTTCTGTTAATTAAGTGAAAGTTTGTTTTTTTTAATGAGATTTTGATCGTTTTTATATAAGCTATTCAATGTTTTAATTGGGTAGACAGCATTTAATATACGACATATCATAAAATATCATCAGATAGGGTTGGTATAGGCTTAATCAATGTTTATTGCTATATAAATCGATGCCTATTACTTTTATTTATATTGAATATAAACGAAATGTTTACAAGTGAGAAATCAACATTATAACAATACTGTACATTGCATTTTCTTAAAAACAATTCACTGGTATGTATGTATATATACCATACTTGTACTTTACATTACTGCATTACCGACCAGATTCAACACTTCTTTTTATACTTTCGAAGACCTTGCTGTATGTAAACAGTGTATAGGCATAGGGATATTATAATTACAATAGAAAACATTAGTCCACTATGTCGACTACACTGTCTCGACCAACTATTGTACCAAGAGATTTTGGCACACCTTACTACAGTTTACACCGTAAGCAATGTCATATTCCACAAGCAGCGAACACTGCTTTCGGGACTCGCGAGGGTCAGTCAGTTTCTGTGTACAGAGCGTTGGAACGAGTGGAATAGACCGAATCGGCGGCTCGGGTCATGTGACTTATAGTGGGTAAGTCACGTCATATAATATGTTGCAAATGTTGGTTGGAATGCAAGTAATAATTTGCTAAATCACTTACAAGTGTTCCAAAATTAAATTTTCAGATACTTATCAGTTTGGTTTGGTAAGGCTCCAATGGATAGTGGGAATAAAGCCTGGAAGTTTTTCAAGGAAAGGTACGGTACCTTCACGATGTGCATTGCTCCAGTGAGTCGTCACCGGCTGAGGTACTTTTTAGGCCTAGCCTAGGCCTATAAGCAAAGATAATAAATAGCAGAAGATAGAGCAGCTTCTCAATATAGTGGAACATCCGTTCGAAAAGGCATTGTGGGTACACAGAGAGCAATTTTACCCTACCGCTCTGGTTCGTTTGTTTCCTGTAGTTTCTCCACATTTTACCCCATTCGCGGGAGGGCGGATTTTCCATAAATTTTAATACAAATACGCGGAGCAGCTCATTCTTCTGCTATTTAAGTTCTTTGCTATAAGTCAAGAATATTCATGGCAAATGCTATCGCACTATGAACAAAAAAAAAAAAAAACGAATCCCCCATTCGTTGCAAGAGTATTTATTTTACAGTTATTTTAAATCCAAAATTAAATCACAGGATGTTTGTAGTTACTGCCGAGGATATTGATCATTTGACAACAAATACTGTATTATTATTACGTATGGCATTAGGTAGACCAGGGAACAGTGAAATTACAATTTAAAAATAAGAGACTTGTGACAAATCTACCACAGGGAACAGTGAAATTACAATTTC